CTTGTGCATAATGACGTCACAAGGCTTGATTCCCGCGAGGAATGCCGGTCTTAGTAGTCATCGCCCGGGAAAATTAAACAATTCAAAATGGCCACTATCGAAGTTTTCCCGTGGTGATTGCTAGAAAGTATACTTCAAAATAAGATTTTATAACGTAGAAAAAACTATCCTAACGCAAAACTAAACCCTAATACTAACCCAAACCCTAACCTAACCCTAACTTATTTTAAAAAATTATATAAAAACGGAAACCTTATTTTGAAGTATACTATCTAGCAATTGCCGTTTTCCCGGGCGATGACTACTAAGACCAGCATTCCTCGCGGGCATCGAGCCTGATGACGTCATTATGCATAAGTCTATTAGTTCTATCGAGTGAGACACCCAAAATCCTGTTATTTACCCATACACCGTACATTGACATCACCTTAGTATCATATACATGAACTTGCGGTTAGAGCTCGACAACTGTCTCTCTGCAGCTCAGTTGGTTAGAGCTCTGCATCGGAATCGCAGGGCCGCAGGTTGGATTCCTGCCAGAGGGCCGATAGTTGCATTTTTCGCAACTTCTCCTGGCAGTGCTTCCATTTTCAAGGAAATTTCCTTTTCTAAGGAAATTCTAGTGTCGAAAAGGAAAATCTAAGGAAGAGAAAAAATCTAAGGAAATCTAAGGATTTTTTCCGAACAACTTAAATATTCATCCAATGGCATTAGTGCAGAAGAAAGTTTCACTATTTCTTGAATTTTTGAGTGAATTATCAATTATGTTTAATTAAAAATCTGTTTTTAACTTTTTCCTCGTGTTTCCGAAAACTTCCGAAAGTTTTTGAGCGATGGAATTTGGTAACTTTTGGCGCCAAACGCTGTGAATAATTAATTTTTTATATCAATGGAAGGTGTATGTTGTAAACTCATGACAAATATTTAATTTTAAACAGTATAATAGCCTGTGGTTATTTAGCTAGCAATCATCTTTGTTAGTTGTGCTATTTTGTGCATTTAAAATTGATTAAATCCTTTGTATTGCTACAAAAGCACTGTAAACCGCCTAATGAAATTTCAAAGAATTTTGAAGGAAATAACGTATACAATCTAAGGAATTTAGAGAAATTTTGATGACAAAAATGAGAAATTTTGATTTTGAAAATGGAAGCACTGTCTCCTGGTTAGGTCTATAAACGCCTTGTTTCATTGTGGTATCATCGTATTTCCTATGTCTCTGGTAACAAATCTTTGGTTATTGATACGAATTTGATCTTTTGGGAACATGAGTTGACCGCGGAGGATAGTGAAATACCATAGAATTCGGAAAGTAACGACTAAGAGGGTAGGCAACTGTTACTTTCAGCAGCTACTACATTAAGAAACATGAGAATCTCCGTTCCACCAAATTAATAATTGAGCACAAGTTCATACGAGTGATTCTGTAATATAAAACTTGACCTAGTCGTTCTCTAATTATTGAAGTTGTGTTACGAGTTAGACCCTGCCCAATGAAGTGATGGGGGCAGACACTTTTGAGGTGCTAGTTTTCCTAATCACAAAAAATGTACAATGTTCGAGGTGTTACTTTCAGAATTCTATGGTAGCTTTTCAAACGGCATATAGTATATGTGACATCTGTGTAGTATATATACCTCCGCAGCAAGTTTTTCTGCTTGAGCTCGACATTGAATTTCCGTCTCGTATTTCTGTTGTAGATTTGAATAATCATCCAGTGCAAGTAATGAAACTAGACGAGGTAAATATAGGATTATAACCCTGTATTCAATACTATTTTACCACAACATATGTAATGCTACATGTAAAACTAATGATTGTACACAATGTGCTAACAAATGCTGAAGATTGCCAAAGTCCTAGGACCATTACCTCGATTTAACTGTTTGAAATTCACTTTGTTATTTTCTAATGCCTCCTTAGTTGTCATGTGTTCTTGTATTTCATGATTAAACTATAGGAAATTCCAAATCAGCAATTGTTAGTGCGAAGGTTTAGATTGTTTAACAAAGCCAAAGATTAAAGCAAACCTTTTCTTCTGTGAGATGTAATTTTTGGGTTAAGTCATCTGTTTTAATTTGAAGTGATTCAACTTGTTGTTTTAAACCTTTACAAAGTAAAAAGTTATAGTTTAGATTGTATTAATTTATTACTTTATTCATTCATTCAGCCATTTGTTCATTTTTTATTCAGAGTTTCAGGGGTTTTTTTAACTTTTTACTTTTACAATTTTACCATCTTCTCTTTAAAAATTACCTTCAATCTGTTTGTCACAAATGCCATGATCTTCTGTTGAGGAAGAACTGTCACTATCTGTCTGACTTGCTAGCTCTTCCTAAACATTTTAACACATTAATTAAGTATAATCATCTGACATTAGACAGGGTAAAATAATCACGTAGGGAACGTTTGGGTGCATTATACAAAACATGTAATTAAGCTCTTAAGGCCATGATTGTTACAAAAGGCTGTTTTCTCTGTAACTAATTGCAAGACAAATATTCAGTTGCAAACTATGGTAAAACTGGTAATGACTCTATTAATCAAACCAAAAGGTATACAAACCAAATCAAAATCAACTGCTTTAGCAACCAAAGTATTCAACAGTATGGCACTTTGTCTTTTGAGTTGTTTATTCGCTTTGACTTGCTACACAAAATTTAACAACAATTTAATAATATATTCCAATACTGTACATATTTTAAATAATAGTATAACATTTAATACAATGGTATTTTGCAGCTTCCAAGTGCCTTAGCTTTAATTAATCATACTTCATGTTTGTAGAGCTCCTCCATAAAGGTTTCTATGAGTTTTCAAAACTAAATTGGTGCCTTGGCAAGTGTAATGATTTGGCATTATTTCAAGGAAACAAAAGAGATGATTCCATGTGGGCTGGATCAATATCTGTTATCACATTGCATAATTTTTGTCAAAGGTCCAAACAAGTAGTCGTACCTGCTTGGCATATTCTTCAGCCTTGTCCCGACATTCCTGTTCAATTGCGAACTTTCTATGAAGGTTTTCATATTCACCGAGTGCTTCTCCCGATACTGCAAGATAGTTCATTGTTCAGTTCTAGTCTACTTAGCTTGGAAATTTGGCAACATTAGGAATGCCTTCCCATCCTATCTTACTTTGAGCAATCGCTGCATTTCCTTTATGGATTAATAGTTTCCTTTTTGAACTTTTACAGCTACACCGCTTACCAAGAATGGGAGGTTTAGAAAAAAACCTAAAATGGTGTTTCCTTCATTCTAGCCAAAACATTTTTTAGTATCCAATGAATACTAGGTTAATTTAAAGGTGATGCTACACAGGACAGGGATGGATTTACTGGGTGGGTTAATTAATTAAAGGGTGTGTACACCCCTCCTAGCCTTGGCAAATGGGCGTGTCCCAATTTCCTCTTCAAGTATTTTTATGTTAATTTGGAATGGCAATTTCAAAATATAGAGACAAAATGAGATGGTAACATGATTGTGAAAGGCAAGACTACAGAATTTGATGCCTTGCTGCTTCCGGTGCTTACTCACTTTGTCAATAGTCACACCCTGCGCCATGACAAAAACCTTGATGAGTGCACTACCACCCAGCCCTGACACGGACCATTTTCAACAGCAATTGAAATGCAACATATTGCCAACCCCAAACGAATTTCATGTAAGAATTAGCTGATTTATGTGATATGTGACCACCTCACACAAAAAGGTTGATAGCAATAGTTGTTTTTTGACATTTAGGCACAGTCACTGATAACCGAAACATCAAACACTGAACAAAGCCTAGCTTGCAAATTCAAATGACTAATTGTAAGTTTTTTACTGTGAATTTTATGATTATACTTTGTTCAGTTTTTGATGTTTCTGATATTGAATTTGTAACTTCCCTAAATGTCATAATATGTAATGTTTACAACATGAGCAGCCGTGTTGTATCAGATATACAAACAACTTTAAAAACGACTCATCTTATGAGTTCATTGGCGAAGTAATTTTAAAAATAAATGTTGTCTAAGCCGAGAAAATCATGCAAAGTTAAAGTTTATGTAAATCAACATGAATCTGTATCACATATACAGATACGACACGCTTATGATTTTTCTTTGTGTTTTCTTCATGAATTATTAACGAGTTTTTTAAAAACAATTATTGCTATCAACCTTTTTTGTGCGAGGTGATCATATACAACATAAAACTGCTAATGTTGGAGCAATAGTTTTGTGAAAACATGTCTTTCTGTGACCTTAGCAGGAGTTTTTCTGGTAAGAGCATTGGAAGTTGAACCATGCAGCAGTGTTTAAATATTGAGAAATTTACATAAACAATTACTGTGCATATTTGATATTACAAGTACTTTTTTAGAAATATTGCATCTAAATAAACAAACCAAATATATGTGAATAATTATAAGCTGATCAATTCATTCTAGCAAGGCTATATCAAACCTATACATATTTTGTCTAGTGTCTAATATTAATCTACTAGTCTCAGCTAAGATTAAGCTAACTAAATAATTCAACCATATTGGTAGACAAAACTGAGTACTTAATTTGAGAAAATTAAATCAAAAACAAAATTCTCTTTGGATGACCACCTTCCATGCATGTGTCCAATTAACCGACCGACTTTCATATTTCGTTAATAATTAATGCATAAATCTGTTAATAATTTACTGCAAGACCAGATGATTTTCGAAAAATATACTCATTACAAAACTCTATGATATAAATACCCCCCTTCTTGGCTTAAATACAGGCTAAAATTCATTTCATAGCTCAATTATGTAACGAAATGTTTCCGTGTATATTATATTCATTTTTTATAGACCTAATAGCAATCAATATGATAATATAGCAACAGTATATAAAATTTCAATAATTCTGACCTTCCTTAAGGATTTCCAATTCTTTTTTTGTACGCAGATAATTTTCTCGTTCCTCTAAATACTGCAATAAAAATACGTGTAAATTTACTACCAGGAATTAAAGCTAGAACGACGCAAAAACACACTTTCATTTATCAGCATGCAGTAATCACTGAGGCGTTCTTTAAATAAAGTAACAGCTTAAAATTCGAATTCTTAAATTAGAATATCTAACCTTGGCATAATTGTCCTCGCATTTCTTTTGAAGGTCCTCAAATTCGTTGATAGCTGTTTAAAAGAAAAAAGATAAGCATTTGTTATTGATGTTATACAGTTTCGACTTCCGCCTTGTAAACTTGACAAACTATGTGATATATGTACATATTGCCCAGAAAAATCGATTTCATTCGATGATATATTACCTTTCAATGATATAATCCGCAAGGTGTTAAATTTTCCCTCGTAGTTATTTTTCTCTGAGGTTTTATTATTGCATAGTAAGGAATCGTGTTCTTTTGATCCCATAATGAATAGTTGTAGTTGAATCGTACACCATAACAAGTCACAATCAAAACAGAACTCGATATGTAGCGGTATAAATCAAATAAGGCACTTTCTATTTCCGGTTTGGAATTAATTTCGAGAAGGGGGGAGGTGCCGAAATGTTTTGCCAATCACATGAAAACGAGGCTGTATCTAGTGTATGGTAATTTAATGAATTTAAATTACTAGTTTTTAGCAGATTTTGGTATTAATCGATCTTTCTTTATATATTGACGTCATACGCGGAAACCCAATTTTAATATGCGATGTCCGGCAGGATATAGCCTGCTCTCAGCCCGAAATTTCGTTCAAAGGAAAACCAGGAAACCCTGATTCCGCTTCAAATTTTCGGGTGGGGCTGCAGAGCAGGCTAGGAAGGACAATGTCAGTCGTTGGCGAGCCAATAAATTTCATGAAAGATACTCGGCAAATTGTCGCTAAAAATTGTCCCTTGAGAGACTTGAGACATCGCGTTTGACGCCATTATCATTCTCGTTCCCCGAAGACTTCACTAGATATGCTCAAGTAATTCATGCAAGGACTGGATATCCAATAAAGTCCAAATTGCGGCTAAAGCCACCCCTCCCCCCATCGGGCATAGAATTTTGTTGGGGGAAGAAACTATGTTTTCCAATCAGTTTTTGCAGTGCTGCATGTTAATACTGATAATTTATCATGAAGATACGTTTTATACTATCTGCAGGCTGCAGCAATTTGTTTCTCAGAATCCTTCCAAAATCCTAGTCTGAATCCATTGTTCGACGAGACCAATTCTAGTACAAGATTGGGTTGTATGATTCAATTTTGAACCTGGAGGTGTGCATCCATAACACTGTTCTGCCATCGTCGGCAAGCATTGCAGGCAGGCTGGAGAACTTTACCTTGGTCCGAGTTCCAGCCTAGTAAAGCCTAAAGAGTAAAGGCGCTGTTACACTATGCAACTTGTCTTGCAACTTGTGTCGCCGCAATTGCAAGGTTAACGTACATTACAAAAACTTGCAAGGTGTAACATACATCGCAATCATCAAGTCTCGCAGCAAGCGTTGCGAAAAGTAGAACCTGATTCTACCCAGGATTCTACTTCGTGCAACGCTTGCTGGAACAAATTAAATTGCGAGACAAGTTGCAAGACAAGTTGCATAGTGTAACAATTTGTATCTGGGTTTTTTCCAGAAATTTGAGTTATTTTTGCTGTTTCAAGCGAACGTATTAGTGTGTGTAAATGTATTTTGTCCTTGCCAGCCCAGACGAACTTTATAACGCATTTTTAAGCCGTTAAGGTGGAGTAATACGGGCAACAAAATTGCTGCAACTTGCAACAAAATCTGATTTCTACGCATGTTAATTGAAAATGTTTACACATACATTACAAATCACGAGGCAACATGTGTCAACATTTCTACTTAACATGCATTGAAATCAGGTTTTTGTTGCAAGTTGCAGCAATTTTGTTGCTCGTATTACTCCAGCTTTACACACACGAGCAAGTCAGGGATGTCGCAGCCGGGGGGTGTAGGTGTAACTCCCGTAACTCCCCCCAACTTAGCCCGCGGGCTACCCCCAACCACAGAATAAAGACATATGCCCCAACTGTGAAATTCCGGTAAAAATCACGTAACATTCAAGTACAATTTGCGTAATAAAGTCTTGAAATGATAACCATTTTTGTAAACTATATAGTTCAATATTACAAAACCCCCCTTTTCTTCGGAAACTTACTATGACAGTGGAAATCAATCAGAAAAAAACTCTATTAGAATTAATACACTCATTACACTGGGTTTAATATAATGGGTAATAATAGCTATCGTCTGTATCGAGTATCGTGGCAGTCGGAAAACCAAAAACTCGTGTAAAATTTGTCGCACGTGCACTTAGCAAATAAAACTTGCCATATAAAAACTTGCCATACAAAACTTGCTCGTCTGTAACCGGCTTTAGGGAATATATTTGCTGGGCTGCCTATGGTGGCATATGAAAACCAGATGGTACTTCCAAGAATTCCAGGGCCCAACCAGGGGTTATTGTAAAATCCTAAAGAGTTTAAAAGACAAAGTGTCTAGCACCTATTTAAATAAATTTTGATTGATGAACCGTCCGTAAATATCTCAACATGATAGCCTGCGAGCAGGCCATGAGTATATTAAAATGTTTATAATTGTAAATTGTATTCTGAAATGGAACGTAGTCACATGCATTGCCTGGGCTGCAGTGTTTTTAAAAATTTTCTGAAAATGATTTGACCTATTGTCTGTATGGCATTGATCATGGCAAACTGATACATTTCTAGGTGATTGAACTTGGCAGATATCCGTAATCACAGCCGCATTTACCCGTCAATCCACACTTAATCTAGGGCAGTTAATTACACGTGTAAACTTATGCAAATCCTGAAAAAAAGCTGTTCATATAAGTCAGCTATAAAGTGCAATCCAAACACTTTAAGGTGGTCCTCTTAGAGTAACTGCCTTCCTTGTCGACACAAGCCCGGGAAAATCTGGGCTGTACCATGCGATAACAAATTGATAGCCTTCGATCAAATTTCCTTCAAACAATAGCATTTGGAATGACTGTTTAATACGGCAAGATGTACATGATAAGAGTTAACTTTATCAGCCGTTAAAGACTTTAAAGAAACTCGAAATTCATACAGAGTCCTGTAAATTTGTTCACAACTTTGTCAGTGTTGTTTTCGAATTCAAAATTCATACAGAATTTGTTTACAACTTTGTTGTTGTTTTCGAAAGCCACCTGAATGCCTATGTATGGTGGTATGGTAAACAAGGGAAGCCATTTGAATGCAAACTGTTTTTAAATTTAAAAAATTGAATGAAAACACCATCCCAGGAGAATGGGGGATTAGTTTTCCGCCGTCCTAATGGTTATTTACCTTTGATAATCCGTTTTCTTTGTTCATGATTGGTCCATTATAATTAGGGGAATAATTTGAAAGCTGTTTCGGAAGTGATTGACGTGAACGAACGAAGAAATATTCATTATATATTTTGTGGCAAACATTTTTTACCGCGAGAATCTCCCAAAGAACTACACTGCGCACGCGCTGATCCATTGAGCATGCGCTGTTCTGCAGCCTTTCACTCATAAAGAGTCACGCCTCCAAGGATATGGTCATAGTACTCCTGCTGCGAAATTACGACAGATTGAAGTTTTCCGCAATCGTAATCTGAAGAGGCTCAGCGAGGCGACGATATTGCTTTGGAGTCAAACAACTGTCATCAAATTGCGCCAGACGAGCGTGTGTCGAAGTAACCGTGGAAAGACAACTTACGATCGAAAAATAATGTCGTTGAGTGAGCTAGTTTTGAAAACCTTGATGCCAAGTAACTTTCTCGAATCGGACGACGATGAGACGAAATCGATAACGGACAGTGACTCGGGCTATAACAAGAATGAGTTCAATGTGTTTAATGATTACTTCGGACTGATAAATCTCGTGCAAAAGTGCAAGCAAAACGCAATCCCGAGCAGCGAAATGGGCTTTTTCGAAGTCGATGAGTTCAGCAGATTTCCTCGACGTGATCGGTTCGACAGTATTGACTCGGAGAATTCGTCTTCTGGAAGCTGCGATTCCTTCACAGATCTAGGGCTTACTATTGGCGACAGTAGTGGCTTTCAACCATTTCCCAACGCGAGTACATTCCCTGGTAGTGGCAGTACATATCGACGAAGAGCCGATTCGTTGACAAGCTTGTCGCGTCGCGGGAAAGGCACAACAGCAACAGCAAGTCTCCCTCGTGGTTTTAATGCTCCGTCGGCAAATCTACCTCAAGTTTGTGTATTTTGTCGTAACAACGGGGAGCCTGAAGAGCTGTATACATCGCATGTTTTAAAAGGTCCTGATGGCAAAACAACCTGCCCGATCCTGCGAGCTTATACATGTCCTATCTGTAAAGCCAGTGGTGGTGACTCGCACACGATCAAGTACTGCCCTCAAAACCAACAACCTGCGCCGGGATTTGTCAATGGAGCACAAGTTACTCGTGTGGGACCACGGCCAAATCGCACTGTTGGACACAGAAAAACCCGTTGATGTGATCCGTCGCTGATTTTACTTGACGAAAAGTCACCGCGAGGGTAATAAAGCTTCATGGCAATAAATTCTTGAAGAGGTTTATCATGTACAATATCTCGTAGAGCTTCTTGCTCGCTTAGCTTTTTATCTCGACAATTTTAGATTATAGATGAAATTTTAATCTTGGGAATATTTTGAAATTATTTAGCTTTTATATTATATTAGACAAAGTAATAAGTGTGAGAATTGTTGCTCGGAATTTTATGGCACAATATGTGGTTTTATAAAAGCATGTATAATTGAGCATATCTTTTTGAAGTGTCGTGCCTTGAAGGCCTATTGTAATATATAGCTTTTCCGTTTGTGAAACTAATTCGATATCCGTACGCTCCGTCCGTGCTCATCGACCTTTTCAAGAGTCGGCAAAAGTTTGTATTTAAGATTTATATAATTTGAATGACACTAGGTACCGTTGTTTAAAAGTAAAATATAGCCGTTGTTGAAATTACCTAGAATTGAATATTTGAATGAATAAGATTTCAATAGATAATTGGCAAACAGGTTTATTTATTCGCTTCTATAAAAAAATTCGTAATTGTAAATTCCTCAGGATATCTGTTTCTTGTCAGTTCATTTTGATTGCTTCTAGTTTATTGAAAATAAAAATGTCTAGGCTTTGAGGCTTGGACAAGCAGCTTTTTTGAAATTTAAAATTTTTACCGAAATTTATTGTCACAAAATTCAACGAGAAATTTTTGTATGTTAGGATTTTATATACTTACACTGTATTATGAGGGAAGTGAATTAATATAAATACGATAAAATTTTTGTATTAAAGAATTGTTGTAAAACTTTAAATATTATTAATGTTAGAATTTTATTGATATCATGTTTTGTAAAATATTGGCAATATAGTTTTATTGAGTTATATAATAGTAGGGGTGACGCTAGATCGTTTAATTCCAGCGGTAAAGCCCAGTTGTACTTTTTAAAAGAATTTATTATATAAAAATGGAATTTAAATTGTTGTTAGATACGATTGAATATAAAGTATTAAAATTTTGTAGTATTAATCTTCACTTTCGTTCATTGTTTTTTTGTAGTGTATTTGGCACGCGCTTCAGGCCGTGTTCGAGGTCTTGTTCATCAGTTGTAGTGCTATATATCACATTTCGTAATGATTGGAAAGGTCTGGTCGGTGTCAAATGGCTTTAATGTTATCCTTATTTATTCTTGAGAGCGAAACTTATCTTTTGTCAAAAGGTTTCCGGTTAAAAGCCGATAAGGTTAAAGGTTTTACTATTGCCCTTCACGCTTCTTGAAATTCCATCTTACGCAAGCGAGCAACCTCGGCTATTTAATAATAAAGGCTTTCTTTGCAAACCGAAAATGTTTTGGTATCGATAGGTCAAAAGGTACTTGAATGAAATATAATGCCAATGACATACCTACTTTACTAATTTTCTCCTATTAGTGTTGACAGCAATCACTAAATGTTGTCATTTGTATCCGACGTATTTTCGCTGCGGTATTCATTGTTTTGGTGTGGTCGCCTTTTAACATTTTATCTCGAATTTCGTCCTTCAGATCGATTAGTTGACATTACATTAGCATTTCTATATGCTTTGTCTCGGCATTTCCTTTGATGGAAAAAGAAAGTATGTTCAAATTCCGAGAGGTTTTTCCGACTTCAGGATGTAATTAGTACAAAACACAATTGCCATTTAAAACTGTTGTTATAACTGGTTTGCTGCACATGGAATCTAAATTAAAAATCCTTTACAAAGATTTCACTCACTTTAATATAGAGTACATTCCTTCAATAACATATTAAAGTGACTAAATGTAGTAGTTTTAGACTTGGAGTGTTTTCACAGCAACTCCATACTAGAATTAAGAAATCCTATTTAAACGTGTCAACACCTATCAGAGTCATCAACACTTCACTTTTTGACGAAATTTTGCTGAAAACCAAAATTTGCTGAATCGAAATTCAAAAGATTGTCTTTTTAATATATCTAATAATCGAATACATAGAATTTTAAAAATTGTTTTCATGCATTATTGGTCTTATTGTTTACATTTTTTTGCGGGAAACACGAAAAACCCGCGAAACCGGTTGTTTTCCTCGTCGGCTTTCTTTCATGCTAAAAATGTCGCAATGTCGTTGTTTACATATTTATTGTTGTTTTCTATTGTGTTGATTAAATTGTAGCCTGCATGGTGCAAACTCTGCAGAATCGAAAATTCTACTTTAGTTATGGATGAAACAAACAATCCCATTTGTTCTGATAAATGTAAAAGTTTGCAATTTGCATATCTGGTATTCTGGTATTTCAATTTTTTATGCTAAATTTCGCTTCATTGAAGTTGAACGTTTAAATTTGAGCGAAGAAATGGGATTCCAATACACCTAAGGGCTAAGGAATCTCGCATTCATTGATTGAGTTAAAAAAACCGATTGCCAAAGTGATAGAATTCTAGATCCGGTACTGGTATAAAAGGTCATTCAGAAAAACACGAGGGAAAACGTACCCTTTCCTTTGTTTTGTTTTGTCTCTAATGTTCAAGAAAATCTGGCCTTTAATACTACAGCTGTTTGAGAAATCTAGCGTCTTACTGCAGTCACTGGCTTTGTGGATGAGAGGTGCCAGTTCATTCGGCTCTTGTAGCACTTTAGGCGTGTTTTGCTTTATCAGGGCGCTGTAAAACACGCGGGGGTGAAATCACTGGCGAAATTACAGTAACGTTCCTCGCCGAAGTACAGAGATCATCTGATTGTTCCCTGCTCAGTCGATCGTTAACAGTTAGTCACTGACACTGAATTCTGCAAAATTGTAAACTTGTCAAAACTTTATACCACATTAGTGCATTACCTTAAATGAATTATTAAACACAGCATATTATACTGCTTATTGTGACAGCCTGACACGAGCCTGACAGGCACAAAATCAATGCTTAAAATAGTTATCATTAATGAAAGTCGTATGGGGGCAGGGGCAAAGGTTAATTTCAAGTATATTTGCATAATTTCCGTGCATGCATGCATCATTTCCCGTACCCGCGGTTAAAATAGCGGAATATTAATTTAATGTTTGTTTCAGGGTCATCCAATATTCGACCCCTCCCGCGGGCTTCGGTGGCGAAGTCGCAGGTTCAAATCGCAATGAGAATTTCTCAATGTGACTCGAACCCAGTCCTCATGTGAAAAGAGTAAAAGTCAACGCTCTGCCGAAAGTCGTGGGCAGGGACGTCGCTTCAAACGTTGGTCAAAGTTGGTCAAAATGGAACTGATATTTGCTTAAAATTGAAGATAAAACTCGGAAAAATTTGGTCAAAGTTTGGGATAAAAGAAGGTCGAAGTTGCCCAACGTTATGAAATGGTTCGCAATTTCAACAATTTTAAAGATTTTGTTATGTTTGCGGTCAAAAAATTGGAAACATTGCTGATCTTCGTCGAAAAATTTTGAAAATGCTTATGTTAGTCCGGAAAATTTTTTTGGACTATGCGTATTTTAGTCCCCCCAATGTTGATGGCTTCGCGACGTCCCTGGTCGTGGGTTTCCCCGGGAACTTCGGTTTCCTCCCACAGGGAAAGTTGACAGGGTGGGTTAGGCACATAGGTCAGGCCCAGGGAGCAGATCATTGATGAAGTACAGACTGATAGCGGCTGCTCAAAGCGCCATTTGTATTATATGCTAACAGTCTACCTCGGTCTGCTTCACGCCAGTTCCGGTTCTAATGTAACCAGTCACTGAAAAACCCTGATAGGGAGTGCGCTAGTAATATATGTATATCACAGAGCATCCTCTATGTGCTAGAGTTAGAGGTGACTAAGATGAAGAAATGACTAATCTAAAAAACGTACGTCTGGATCTATATAGCGCTCAACTAAGTTTAAGAACAAGTGATTCCTCGACTGATTCAACACACTAGAGACGGGATGGTAATTTCGAGTGGAATCTTTATACATTTATTACACCTGACCAGCGACAACTGTCGCCGGAATCGGACGGTAGTTGAATTTTTCACAACCTCTAACGTTGAATGTATAAAAATTCCACTCGAATTTTTCATCTACAAATCCCTTCAACATGTAGTTTTTCGAGTGGGATGCCCAAAATCCTAATATTTTTAAGACCGTGACTGAAAATTTGATTTTGCGGAAATTTGAGTGATGACAATAAAATCTCGTTTATGCAATATATTCTTTGGAGAACTGCAGTCTGCATGTCAGCATGTGATCATGAAGCGTAAAGCCGTAAACTGCACTTTGTTCTGAAAACCTGAATCGTTCCACAGCACTGCATTACGCGAATTGAGGATGAAATTTCGTTTTACCATAGCCGAATAGCTTTATAGTCAATATAGAATAGATGGTTTGGAAAGTCATTAGAATAACAATTTAAATCATTATCTTCGTTCACCGTGACGTGCGTATGGTATTTTTGCCCAACTAACCAACAGCAATGTCTTAAGAAAGTTACCTATCCGTGACTCGAACAATAGGGTCAGGGGCGTAGGAACCGGGGGCACAGGGGGCACGTGCCCCCCCCCCCAATTTTTTCAATGGACTAAAAGTGCCCTTTTTTGTGATGAAAAGTGCTCTTATTGTACAAGCTAATGTTGCTGTAAATACTAAATTAACATCAAAGGTGTCCTTTCTGTTTGGAAATTTCGATGTTTTAAAAAGAAATTTGGTCAAAAACGTGCAATTTCGGTATGGTATGACGAGAAAATTCCCCTCCCCCTTCCGCGGGAAATTTTTTTTAGGTGCCTTGTTCAATATCCAAAAGTGCCCTTGGAAGCTGGTGCCCCCTCACACAATCTTTTGATGCTTCCTACGCTCCTGAATAGGGTAAATTGGAAATTGCTATTGGTGGATTTGGCAAAAATACAATACTATACACACGTGACGGTGAAGGACCAGATTGATGAATAAACGTTGACCAACATAGATAATGACTAATGAGTTATATTGTTATTCTAATGAGTTTCCAAACCATCTATTCTATTAACTATGGTTTTACTTTTAGTATGCGAGTTAATGATAAACATGCAGAAACAAAAACAACAGCAACTTGAAGGAGAAAAGTCAGAAAACAAGGAGAAACATCTTTCAGGCTACATGTAAGTAGGCCACTCATAGCTCTCCTTCAAATCCCTAATTTCGTTCAAGTACAGCGGTTTGCGCAAATCACGCAATATTTCTTGAGAACCGTTACTTGGTAAGTAACCTAGGTACTTCATGACACGTTCACATCGCGTCTCGATGATCTCCAGTAATTTATCGGGAATCTTTTTCCGCCAAGCATTTACCGATACATTAGCATTACGCGATAGTGAAAGTACGGATAATTTTACAGGTCCATGAGTTTTACTATAAATCCATCTGAATACCTCTTTCGACGGAGAAATACGAAGTTCTCTGAATATTTTCCGAACCAGACCTTCGGGATTTGTCGCTAGCTCTTCGTAACGAACCAACTTGATGCGGTGTGGATGACGTACAACTGCCCCAAGATTCTGTTCGATTGTATCACATGTTTGCTTGACCATGTCGTCAGCTTCACCACTCTCGAACGCGAATTCATTGTGCTCGCGTGGAATAATCCAGCCCAGTACATGGCGAGAATACAGCATCGCTCTTGGGTCACGTACTAAGTACAATACATAAACGGGCTTAACCTTGATCTCGTGCGCACGCACGGTGGACTGAAGGCCCGGAGATGAGGGTGGGACAGGGTATGAACCGCTGATGTGCAAAATCCAGGACAAATCAACAGGTTCTATACTTTCCAGAAGAATTTTTGAGGCAATGTTCGTATGTTTACGACATACTGTGTTTAGATCATCTGCAGAAACTGTTTCATTGCATAACGCCCAGTTTTGATTTGTGACAAAATTCATTGCTTTTTCATGAGTGGTGTTACAAAATGGCGGGGAGACGAGAGGTCTGCACGAGGCTCGGTGATGACCAGCACGTGACATGATTTCCAAGAATCCATCATCTTCAAAATTACAATTGAGAATAGCGTCAACCACATATTCTGCGCTGTCGATATACTCTTCCGAGTTTCTTTCCACGATTCTTCTCAATTGATTTAATGGTTCGTATATAAAGAAGAAATCTGGATGCGCGTTGAAAATCCCGCCAAAGAATGATGACCCTGACCTGCCATGCGCGACAATAATCACACGCACACCGCTTGTACTTTCCGATGCACTCGGAATCTTCTTGTACAATTTTATACTTTTGTCCAACGTTTTAGAAGTGCCTTTCTTTGCCCGTTTTACAAAAGTAGCATATCGCTGCTTTGTCGGACGTTCACGGCCATTCGGACGGTCCGCAATTTTTACTTTTGGACGAATTCGAATGTTTAAATTTCGCGCGTGTTGGGGATGAATTTTCCTGCGTCCTTGAATTTTCGCATTAGCTGCGCGATATTTTGAGGTTATGGGAAGAAAAACCGAGAAATTATCTGTCAGCCGTGATACTGAGTAGGCAGTGCTTTGAAGTTTCGAGGTGCCATTATACAGTGATGTTGATATGTAGAGAATAAATAGAAATAGCAGGACTAATGTGAGTCGAAGATTTCGTCGCATCTGTCAACCTATTAAACAAAACGATCACCATAACTTATTGTGTATAAATACAACGAAATTGGCAGTGAAGTGGAGTGATAAATCATAATCATTTAACATACGACATATACATACCTGGTACGTGACCAAGTGAAGAGTAAGTCTAGCTAGAATAATCCATTTCTTCTATATTATATATTTTGATGCACTAGGTGATACAATACAGAACAATCTTTATTACAATGCAATACAATACGTTATAAATTCACGCTGTTCAATATATTTAGTACTTATGTTTTGATTCAAGATAACTCCGTGCAAACATCACAAATGTATATACACAAAAATGATTTGCGCAACAATACAAATTATGCAAATTACCATTTTTGCGCTCTTTAATAATTGTTACCAGGCTCTTCGGCCGTCGCTTGTTGCGTAATTCCAAATTCCAATATGGCTGTGGAATCATGGTTAAGGTTGTTTACATACACACGTGTTTCTAGATTAAATTTCAAAGTAGAACGGAGATTTTTAAACAATAAGTACTGTACTCCAACACCACAAAACTTCAGAACTTTTGTAAATCTCACAAGGAAATCAGAAAAATATGATAAACTTTGGAAAAAATGTGTGTTCTGTTTAGGGATTTGTATTGGATGTACAGCTGGCTTCCAGGTTTTTGATTGGTTGAAAAATAAGGGCTTTCAAATAAGATGTTACAGTTCCATAGCCCATGCAAAGACGAATAACTCTAAATCAAAGCAATTTAATTTTGTTGCTGATGTTGTTGAAATAATTGCCCCTGCTGTAGTACATATTGAAGGTCACAGTCGGCGGGGCGGGTTTATGGGTCATGTGATGTCATCGTCATCTGGCTCTGGTTTTCTGGTATCGGAAGATGGTTTAGTACTTACCAATGCACATGTTGTGCAAAATATGAGAAATGTTACTGTGACACTTGCAGATGGCTCGTCAATTGTGGGTGATATCATGAGCCTTGATCGGGCGTCAGACCTTGCTGCTGTACAATTACGAAATCCAAGTAAGGTGAGATTTCATGGAAATAAATATCTAGGGTCATCTAAATATTCTGCAATGACCTTTTCAAATTATTTACGATGTCTTGACATTTGCCCTCCTGCATATTAATAATTTAATATTTGATGATATAAATAATACTATTTTTTTGGTATTCAGAGAAAGTTTGAAACAATAAAACTTGGTGATTCCTCTGAAATTCGTCCTGGAGAATTTGTGGTGGCTATGGGTAGCCCTTTGCGTCTGAGTAATACCGTAACATCTGGTATTGTCAGTGCTGTCCATAGAGACTTGAGTCGACATTTATCTGATGTTGAATATATACAGACTGATGCTGCAATTAATGTATGTCTCTAATCATTGCTAGTTTTAATAACTTTGTTTTATTATTTGTTAAAAAATTGTCTGATTGTTAGTTTACGAGAGTGCCAGACAGTGCTCTTTTCTTGACAAGTAAAATCATCTGACATTAGACAGAGTAAAATAATGCAGTAGCTAGGGTACTAGGGTATTTCATTGGTTAAAAACTGTTTATATCATTAGGTCATACTACTAAATATATGTAGTCATAACAACAGTACATTGTATAAATATCTGATTTAAGGATTTTCTCTGTTGTCTTTAAATAGGTTGGAAATTCTGGTGGTCCTCTTGTCAACCTGGTAATGCCAGAAAATACTGACAGTAGATTGATTAAAGTTTATTAAAATATTGCTAAAACATTTTAATTTATATTTCTATTTCAATCTGAGGCTTAAGAATTAGTATTGTACATGATTAATACATATTATTGTAACAGTTGTAATTTGTAGAACGTACTTGTATTAAATTTATTTAGTGGCAGCTATAGTTATACACCTGTGGTTGCTGTCAAGTATTTTGACAAATTCTAAAAAAGTCCCTAAAAAAATCCCAAGAGGTTCTGGAAATCCCAAAAATTTTGTACACATGTTTGGGCTGATAAAGTACATCCCTCAGGTCTAACTTCTAAGGGTGGTATGGCAGGACACCAGAGTACTTTCACAAGTTTTCAAACACACAGAGATTTAGGCCCCGGCAGCATCAGCCAGTCAGCTACTCATATTGTGTGAAACTGTCAGTATCCAGTTGCCCCAATACTAATTAATAACATATAGTATAACTGCAAGAAATTATGTTCTATAATGTAAGCTTCAGCAATAGATTGTTTAACCCATTAAGCACCAGCGCTCTCCCCTTGACAAGTAAAACCGTCTGGCGTTAGACAGAGTAAAATACTAAAGTAGGGTGCATCAGGGTGCAATGAGACTCAATGGGTTTACTTAAAATATAATTTTATTTATTTACTGTGACAAAGGAAATTCTTCTGCTTATTTTCAGGATGGTGAAATGATTGGCATTAACTCTATGACAGTCCAAGGAGCCGTTGGGATTTCATTTGCAATTCCTGTTAACACTGTGAAAGAGTTTCTCGAAGCTGCCCTTCAAAAGAAATCGTCAAAAACTGCCAAAGGTTATATTGGTATTCATATGCTCACACTGACTCCTGGTATTATCGATGAATTACTCGGCAGAGTTCCTGGTTTTCCAAGCGTCAAGAATGGTGTGTTTATACCTGAAGTTGTCTATGATTCCCCTTCGCATAGGTAATCTATAATTTGTGTTAATTAATTTACAATATATGCAATATCTCCTGAAGAAAATTAAGTAAGCCGGTTTTCCACTAGGCAGAAGTTTGCATGCGGAATGGAATTTTCTTTGTCTTTTCTAATTAGTTCCACCCGAGAAATCACAAGACAAAGACCGGCTTAATAGGTAGAATGAAACAATCTTTCCCTATCATTTTTTAGAGCTGGTATTTATCCAGGAGATATAATAATAAGCATCAACGGAACAAAAGTGACTAACTCCCAAGAAGTGTACAACTTTGTTGCAAAAGGAGAGCTATTGACAATAGAGATCTTACGAGGACTCAAGCGACTTAGGGTTGTTGTACAACCAGAAACTGCTCCATAAATGTTTGTTTTGAGCCACTTGGTATAATTTCTGGTGTGAAAATGCAACTCAAGCTATGCAATCTACACTAGATAGCCCTTTTTGGTCCTAAAACTTGTGTATAGTTTGTTATATCCATCTATAAAGTAGTTTTTTATACTCAGGATTTACAAATACCTAAAGATTATAGAATCAATAGTAGATCGAGTAATTTGTGTATTACAAAATGTACAAATCAGTGCAAAACACATGAAAACCGAGACCAAAAACTGTCATGAAGTGACTCTCTTGGGTTAGAAAATAGATCGATTTTGGTTAAAGATCTAACTATACTTAAAAAAGTAAAAAGTATGTTTGAATAAGAGCATTCAACCAAATTTGTGAATATTGAGTATCATTACTAGTTTACTACCTAGTTCGTCGAAGAATGTTTTTGTCACACTTTTATTATATTGCAGTATTTACATGTAACATCATTTTACATAGCATATTTATACTGGTAAAGGACTAAGAGACACTATTTGCCCACTCAATAAGCTGATAGATAATGGCAGTTCTCACAAGTGTTGAAACATTGTCAACTTTAGAAGTTCTAACACTTTAACAGTGGTACGATTGATATGTTACCCAATGTGGCTTTGCCTGTCCAGGTTTCTCCTTATGACTGGAACTAAATAACGACTTGAACACTTTGCTTGCCTCTGGATTAGCAGCTACAGACTTGTATTTGGAGTAAGCGAGAGTTTTGTCACCATTTGAAGAACTTTCTGCTTTAGTAATTGTGGATGATGACTTAGTTTTAGATTTTGGTGGTTTCATGTTTGACTCTGATCTTAAGGTAGATGATGTAGTTTGGGAAACTGACGATGATGTATCAATTTTGGATTTCTTGGAATCTTTGGTAGCTGTGTCCAGGGCTTCGCCGTTTGCTCTCTTGGACTTTTTAGATTTCTTTTCTTCTTTTGCTTTTTGGCGTCGTTCAAGCATTCCTCCCTGCAACTTGGTGACATCATCCTCACTACCATTTATAATGATCAGATCTTCCTCAGCGAATGGTGTTCCGCAATTATGACAAGATGCCGAAGGAACCTCCTTCAACCCACGTTCTGAGAAAACACACCCACATTTCCAGGAAAAACAGAAGCGATAGCGGCCATTCATTTCCAAACCGGAAATCGGGCAGATGTAATCAGATGCTTGGAAGTCGTGATATGTGTTTGCAGCATGGCCATTATTTTTGAAGTCTTTCGGTACTTTGCGGATTTTTTTGGTCAAGACAAGTTGCTTGATATCCTTAAGGCTGCGAATATGTTTTGCAGTATCAGTTGTGGCTTTGGATTTATCCAACAGATACTCTAACACTGATTCCTTACGATACAGCTTGCCCAATTCACAACATACAATAGGCTCACACAGTTCTTGTTGGCTAATGGCGCAGTGAAACCATTTGGCATTTAACTCGATTTCTTTGTCGACTTTTTCCGGTTTTTTCTTCTCACGAACTAACTCGCATCTCTTTGGTATCGTTCCACCATCGCAACCCATGGTTTTGCCGTGGAAAATAGCAAAAAGTTGTAGAAAAAGATCAAAAAGAAAAATTTTGTAAATCTTTTACAAAACAACAAAAATTTGGCGAGTGGTCAGAGGTCTGGAAAAGAGTGTGCGTCACATGGTGACGTCATTGTCAGAAATACGCCAAAATTTATAAACTCGAAAGTATAAATTTCAAAATATTCCGAAATTAAACAAGCCAAAAAAGTTTTCTTTGTCATTAGTGTCTGTCATCATTTTAAAATAACATTTTAATTTTAATAGTTTCTGTAGTATCAAAGGGAATTCAACCAAAATTTGGTGTTAACTGAAATGAGAATTGGACATTTTGTGTCGCGACATTTTATCGTATTTCCGTAATGTGTTTCCAGTTTGAGAAAGCTCGAAGTGAAAGATGAAGAATTTTGACAAAATCAAGTTATTTTCTGGTCCAACGTTTTCACGATACAGAAGTACAACTCACCGATAAACACGTAAAACCTAAAACTCACCCGTCATTTATAAATGTAATGAAGAAATATTTTCTGAAAAGGAATGAACTATCCAAAAGAAGAGAAAATTCCTTCCATTTTCCGGAAAAATTTGAGAATTTTTCAAATGCTGGCGTGGAAACATTATTGTGAAGAAAAGTAGAAAATAGAAAACAGAGATTATAAAAAAGAGGACGAAAATAAACATGGAGTCTTGTTCGGCAGTTGGTAAAGAAGAAGAGAAGCTTTCTAAAAAATATAAGGCTTTCCGTGAACATACTGAAGCATCTTTAGAAGATACTTTGAAGCATTTGTCCAGTCTGCGTGAAGAGTTGTCTAAAGGTGCGAAAGTGCATCATGTTATAAAATTTATATAGGTTGTGTTGTAAACAGTTAATTTTTTTTGATGATGTTTAGTAGTGTGAACACAGAATTAAACACCTACAGAAGTCCCACTTCTTGTTGGTGACTTGGTGCCTTTGGTGTTAGCGTATTAAAAAACTGGCACCATCCAATAATTCACAATTGCAAAGCGCTCACCATGTCCCGGCCTAGCTAGTGTGCTAAGGAGAAGCAGAAGTTGTCACCCCCCTGAAAACATTCAAAATAGCCAGCTTGGCTTAGGCATTCAGGGAGGCGAGAGCCTTTCGTAAGCACACTGGCTGGGAACATACTTATAAATTGTAATCACTTTGTTAGCCTGTGAACATACTGTAATCTGATTGGTTGTGACTGAACGTAATGGGTTCTGATTGACTGGGCTTAAATACCAACAAACCTTTGACTTTGATTTTCAAAATTGAAATAATATTCTCTTGACACTTCATGTTCATGTATCTACTAAGTTTACAGTAACTATGGCCAATCCAAATCAACTGCCCAGATCTGGGTAGCACTGCACCAGACTGGAAAGTTTGGAAATTGCACGCCGGAGATTTCGAAAATTTAATAGTAAATATATAGAAAGCATCAAAATTGCTTGCCGGAGATATCCGCCGTGCGATACAAACTTTCCACACTGGGCACTGCAGGCCACTGCTGGGGGGCCAATAATTTCACAGACTGTATTACAGCAGTCTGTGCACAGGCTATCGCTTTGTTTCTATAGTCTAACTATACAATATTACATTTAGGATGCTAATGCTATAATTTAGGGATGCACCGGAACTCAGTTCTGGTTGGTTAGTTCCGGCCGGAACCTCGATTTTTCAGAGTTCCAGTTCCGGCCAGAACTAATAAAAAAAGCATGGCTGGAACCGAAACTCTGTTATTTTCAGAGAGATAGAATATCAAACGTTTTTGTGCCTAACAAAAGTTCACAGTAGGAAGAAATTTGGACTACACAAGGAAAATATACACCATTAACACTTCATTATGACGTTTAACATTTGTCAATCTTGTTTTTCTAACACTTGCAAGCTTTCTCCTTGATGACTTGAAGTATCTGGCAGCAGACAAAGTAACATATGGCCATATATGAGATCCGGTTCCGGTCAGAACTTTAAAAATTGGTTCTCGTGCACCCCTACTATAATTGGCTGTTACAAGCCCAAAAAATCATGCACGTAAATCTCCAAATTGCTAGACGAAGAGCAATTCATATTTACAGAGAATTACGGTAACTAAACAAAATGCCGTTTGGATAAAAATACCTGAACATAAAACAACTAAATATTATTAGTGTGAGTAAAATGCTACTCGTTATAATACCGAACACTTTTATGACACATTTTACTGGTTTTTACGATATATTTACGAATAAGCTTCACACTTAGTCACTTTGATTATAGTCAGTTTTAAGTTTGTTAACTTTGTTTAAAGATTTACTGTTTCAAAGTACAGTAAGTAACACTTGTCTAACATTTTGCAATTTCACAACTTGAACAGTGCGCACCCAAAGGTAATGACGGACGTTATCGACAGCTTGTGTTCAATTTTGGACATGTTTTTGCGCCTTAAATAAGATGCCACTTAATTATGTTGCGACTTATTTTCTCTTGAATGTATAAATGGCCCTATTGTTATTTTAAAAGAATCCTAATTACCCATTTAGTTGATAATGAAAGTCAATTAACAAGTACACAGCTTGAGATACTTGGTGATATTTCAAAGAAAGTTGACAATATAGTTTCGCAAGTGGCAGGAGAACATAAAGACATGCATGGTGCTCTTTCAAAGATTGGAAAATCAATTGATAGGGTGAGTGGAATTATGCCAAACATGGGTTGAGATGAGGTATTTTATAGTATCCTACTAGGTAGCCAGGGCGATTTAAAAAAAGCAAACTAAAAAATGTAAAATAAACTGATAAAACTGTTTTTATCCACATCATATTGATATTTGAAATCATGTTTCATTATGTCATTGTCAATTATCAATCTGACTTGTGCAAAAAGTCAGAAAAAGGGCTGTGAAAAATAAGATCAAAGCATTTGATTTATTTTACTTTTTATTCTCTAAAATGCTTCATAATTTACATGAGGAAGGGGAGAAAAATTTGTTTCTGATAATACTGTAGTACTGCGGATTCAGGTAGACCGTGAAATGCGAATAGTTGTCGCGTTAGTTTTAACAGTTGTACGATGACGTTTCTAGGCAGATTTTCGACGTTTCTAAGGCGTGGCTTCAACGTTTATTTTTAAAATTTGAACGTTGTAATTACAAGGTAATTGCTAAATAGTATACTTCAAAATAAGGTTTACGTTTTTATAACGTAGAAAAAATATCCTAACGCAAAACTAAACCCTAACCTAACCCTAACTTATTCAAAAAATTGACATAAAAACGGAAACCTTATTTTGAAGTATACTATCTGGCAATTACCTTGTAATTACAACGTTCAATTTTTAAAAATAAACGTTGAAGCCACGCCTTAGAAACGTCGAAAATCTGCCTAGAAACGTCATCGTACAACTGTTAAAACTAACGCGACAACTATTCGCATTTCACGGTCTACCTGAATCCGCAGTAAGTGTATTAGGACATCTGAAGGGGGGGGGGGGGGTTAACTTCTAATTTCCTCTGGAGGAGGTATGGGTGTGTCTGGAATGACCCATTAAGGCCATTTATCACTTTATGCAATGGATACATCTACAGTAATGTAATCCTGTACTTCCAAGTTAACACCATGTGTAGCAGTAAAGTTGTGTGATAACTAAAAACTCTTCAGAGTGTTTAATAGCCAGAAAGAAAAAAATCTGCAAGTGACTGTAATTGGAAAATTCAATTAGTGTGCAACAAGCCGCCTTTTTTTTGGGTGGATGCATCCTCAGAACACTGATCTGGTCCTAAAGTTTTAAATTTGAACAATCTTATATTTTCATTTTTTTTTCATAATAGTTAATATATGTTTCTTGCAGACCTAAATTGGGAAATTGCTAGCCAGGTGTATAACACCAAATCTTTGGCTGTAGCTAATACTCTACACTTACCAAGAACCATTGTATACTAAATTAGCATTAATATGTCAAATGCCTAGAATTTTGTTCAAGACAATACTGGTGTCAGTCAGCCAAGGGTTTTTGTTGGTGAGAAATCTTCAGCTTTAAATGAAGTTTTATGTCAGCATTTCTTCCGACAAGGAAGGCTGGAAATTGGAGAAAGTTTGGTCAAGGTAAATTATAAGTTTGTTATTGTATACTATTTAACCCATTAAGTTTTTGTACCCTACTTTATTATTTTACTCTGCCAGACCATTTTACTTGTCAAGGCTGCTCAGTAAGTTAATATCTGCAGTTCTGGTCTTTTGCCTAATATATAGGGTTACAAGGTAGCAACCACTCTCATTTTTCACCGAAATGAGAAGTGGTAAAAAGTGCTGGGCAGTTTTTATTCATGATATGGTCACTCAGGGACTTATTAGCCAGCTCCTCTTTGATGCAAAAACAAGCAAAGAGCATTAAATAATAGTATACATGTCAGGAATACAGAGCATTTTGAGTCTAGTTAAATTATGTATCTTTATAAGGTGTAGCAGGGGGTATCCCCCTTGCCCACTTCACCGAGTGCAAGAAAGAAAAGTCGATCAATATATATGATTGGTTAAAATAATCTGATCACAACGAACCCACTCCCAAACACACTTCACGGTCACTGTGTAGTTAGTGTGCATTTCTCATATGTCAGTTGATATTTAATTTCCAGGAAGCTGATCTGAGTATTGATGAAACTAAGAAACTGCCATTTACAGAACTAAATTTCATTCTTGATGCTTGCCGCCAGAGATGTCTGGACCATGCATTAAGGTATTAAAACAATAAAACCTTAATTTCTATTCCACCCACTAAAGAAATTGTGAACAACTATATGTGGAATTGTTTTTACATGCATATAATCAGTGACAAAGGAAGCTTAATAGGCAATTCCAGCTACAGACTAAGTTTTGATCTAGGCAAGGAGGACAAAATCCATCACCACAGCTAAAAAGAGCATGTTAAAATTAGTACAATTGCAAAGTTTGGTTGCGAAATGTTGTAAAATCAGGAACATATGTCATAAAGCCCTGTGAAGTTCGCAAATTTTGTATAGATTTGTATTACGCGCGTGAAAAATAATCATTTTTGAGCCGAAAGTGGTTATTTTTACCGCGCGTAATTCAAATCTATACAAAATTTGCGAACTTCACAGGGCTATATTTTCCTCATTTTACAACATTTCGCAACCAAACTTTGCAATTTTACTAATTTTAACATGCTCTTTCTAGCTGTGGTGATGGATTTTGTTCTTCTTGCCTAGATCA